AGTGCCAGTTTCGCGGCGGAAAGTTGTACGGTAAAGGGAATTAAGGCGCAAAGTTGCTTCAGTGGTACATCCTTTTTCCAGTGACTCCGCCTCCAAAGTCGGCCTTCCAGCCAAAAGTAATGCTCCCGGGCAAGTATCATGGGTGGATGCATTCATGTCTCTTGTAGAGTCATAGGGTTCATTACTGGGAATCAGCCGACGGGAATCGTCCCAGCGCGCGGTCTTTTCGGTTTTACCCCTACAATTGTTTGAGGCTGGAGGAGTCCTAATGAATGCGTTTCCAACGTTCCCTTTGGGATTTTCTCTTCACAGACGGTTCACTTGGCGAATTTCCTTCCTGTATTTCTACAACATCCCCTACACTCCTTATCACGGATCGTGCCTTCAATACCTGGCACGATCCTGTCCGGACCTCGATGTATCTGCCCTTGACTGTAAGATATCGTAGCTCTCGCGACTTCTATGTTAGGATGACATCCTAGCTCTCGAGACTTCTACAGACTTTGTGAGGGTGACTTTTCGACTTACATGTAACCTTCATTGGAGATTATGAGCTCTACAGTGTCCAGCCGAACTTCCGGGGTAGTTTTGAACGATTTGGCCATTTTGAAGGACAAAAGAGGTAGAGTAATAGAGAGGAATGTGGTAGGCAAACTAAGAACTGTCCTTTTACGCATCCGAAGTTATATCAGGCTTTCTTATCGAGCTTAGCTTTTTCTGTGGCGTTGTGCCGAAATTACTTGTCACTCTTTTTCTATGCTGCCATTCGAGATGTTGTTAAGTACTCCAGTCGTCTCAATCAAGTGTTTCACCTTGACAAACCCTGGGGAAGAGGAAGGAGGGTTATGTCGGGACTTCAGCAAAATAGGAGTCTTGAAAGACGGAGTTGTTACACAGTGAATCTTCTTTCCGTGCAAGTCATCGCGTTGTGGAATTTTTCTTGCTGAAGTGAGCCTCCCCCATTTTTTTCACTCGGTACAGCTTCTTTCGCGACCTATCTTACCAACGTTCACAAGATTTTTCCGACGACCGGGGAAAGAGGAAGCAGGAGAGGAGGCGCCTGATCAGCTATGGAGGTTTTGCCACGCCGCTGACGAGGGGTGTTTAGTGTACCTCAAAAGAAAAAAAACTAAACAGTCAAATTTCTTCGAAGATCCAATCCCCCCCCCCCTCCAGGCCTCCAAGGATGTAATGCTCCGCATATATACGATGTTATTGAAGCTGGTCCGTTTGGATCCATTTGGAATGGTCTAGCGTCTGGAGACCGCTCCCTTCCTAATAAGGGCGAATACTTCACCTTAATTCTCTTTCACTATGATAGTCCACCTCATGACTTCTCTGGTTGAAGATGCTGAGCGTTTTGAATGATTTCGTTGGGAAGACAACGAGTTGCTATTTGGCTAATGACTAAGTTCTGTTTAGTTGCTCTTCTGTCAACGGACATGCGGTGATGGTCAATCTATCTATGCTGTTGCAGTAGATCGTGAAGTGATATTATTATTAGGCACCGGCAAAACAATTTTACGACAAGATGTGCCTTTTGATATTCGGCAGGTGAGCTTTTAGATTACACAGCCAGGTAAGGTATGGGTTCATAATGCTTCTCTTGGGCTTGGATCCAGCGCCTCATATCAAGGAGGTTCGGTGATGATTACGTACCATGCATTTCGCTCATCACTTCGTAGGTTAAGTAATGATGAGGGCAAAAGGATGGCCGTAGGATGGTGCTATCTTGTAAATAGCTGATTTAAAGATCATAATAAATTGTTCCATGAGGTGACAGAAGGATATCCATTACACCTCCGCTTCTTTAGCACAACTGATGTACCAATTCAAAGCAGGGTCCTCATGAGTTGATTTTATGGAGCTTTTTCCTCGAGATTACGTCAATTTATTTGGACAGTAATTCAACTATTTCTTTTCAGCTGCTTTGGGTCGTTTTTCCTCCCTCAAAGAGTGAAATTGAAGACGGCTGTTACACAGGAATTCTTTTGTATCGTTGGATTACGTGACTTGATGTTCATTGCTGTTAATGACTCCCATCCATTGGGATTCCGTGTACAGTTCGATGTGAGTCATCGGGTTTTTTACCGTCTCAGGGCACTTGTCAACCGCGGAGCCTTTCTTCTCTTTTCTTTTTTCTCCTCCTCCTTTCTTTGTTTCCTCCTCCCTTACCCTCTCCCTTCAACTACTGGGCTAGTAGATGCCTCGAGAAAATACCCCTGGACCCTCGCAGCGAGAGCACGTCTGGTTGACAAGTTGCCCGCGACCTGTTTTTTTACCTTAACTGTTTTTTCTTTTTTCCCAATGGCCGTCCCATCTTACAGTAGGTGAATTAGTAGTGAATGCATTTCGAGCCTCCAGAGGTTCGGGGAATGCGAGAGTGGCGTAGGCAAAGTAGGATTCTTGGACTGAAGTTTGCTTGTGAGGTCGACATAGAATATTTGTCTCTTATGGCCCCGTAGATCATTTTCTGGCTTGAGTGAGAGCTAGCAATGTCTCCATTTTGTCCCCATTGTAGCCATGCTGGTCCATTAGGCTTTAATGCCACAGAGAAACGAAGCTGTTCCTCAATTAGCATAGGGTTTTCATGGAGAAGTTTGACTCTTGAGCCGTTTTTGTGCAGGTGTTCATTTAGTGTCCCAACGGAGCCGGGGACCCTTAAGGTAAAGCTACATCCCGAAATCGCACGTTATGTACGTCGTACCGGATTGTTCCAATCAAATTAATGCTGAGAGTTCGTGGTATTTCAATCCTCATACGCGCTCGATCTTGTGCCCTGTCATCTCTCCATAACTCCTTCGCTTCCTCCGCACCATCGTTACGCCCCGCCTATTTAGTCCGATTGTTTTCGGTAACTTATTTTCATTGCGTCAGTATCTTTTAGATTCACGCTGTATACGCAACAAAGTTTGGACTGCTCGTAGAACGTGATCTGTCGTTTCTTGGTGCCTCTGCTGAGGACCAAGTTGCTCTCTATTCGCTTTCTCATCCATTGAATGAGTTGTTGGCAGTAATTTTCAAGCCACGAGGTATTGTGAATGTACTTCTTACCGTAATTCATGTTTGCAGAGATAGTGAATTTCCGCTGCTTTTCAGATTCTTTGACGCAGTGGTTGTTTTGTTGGGAGAAATCCGAGTATCGTATTATAGGAGCTGAGGATGATCTCTTTTATTGGTATTTTGATAGGTTAAATGAGGTATGTGGTTGCTTCCGTAGCCAGCTTTTATGATTTCCAGTAGTATTAGGGGAAGTTAGGTTCTTGATTATGATCGCTGATTTACTTCTTCTTGCTCCTTAGCTGTGAGGCAGCAAATCTTCCAACCAAATAGAGGCAAGTGATTCTTGCCATTCGCTATTAATTGCATAGGCCCCTCAGTTACTATCAAGTTCTTCTTACTTTGAATGAACGAAAAAAGAGGTACTTGGCACAGTCAGCTCGCAATCGGAAATTAGGTTCTACTTTCATCTTCTCAGAGAATTTCTTTTCTAGGTGCACACTTTGTTACGGATTCGTATTACCTCGGAGCATGAAGTCCACTCAGCTATAGAACTTCTGGAAAAGCGTCGAACAGAGATCACGTCTACCCAAGGAACACCGCTCATACATCCCGAATCGACTCCACTCACTTCACATCGCTTGCAGAGTAGGTCTTTTTGTGGAGCTCTGCACAACTCTTCAATTAATTCTCGATTCAATAATGACGATTAAGTCATTGATTGCTGAAGTTATTGTCAGTCAAAAGGAAGCGCATTCTATTCTCGGCACTAGTTGCTCCGTACTATCCCGCTTTGAAATTCGGTCTTTGTGAATTTGTTCCCAAAAATAGTTTGTTCCCTTATTACGAACGGCTATCCACAATCTTATTCGCTGCGGATGCTGGGACGTGTCAGTTGAGCTGTGTCAGTTTGACGCAGCGCCAGCTCGTCTGGCGCCAATCGTTGTCGCTTGTTTCGCTTTGAAATTTAGTGGAGAAAGGTCTTGTGCCACGCCAACCCCAGCCCTTCCTACAAGCCTGAGCATCCGCAGCAAATAAGACAAAGCCTGTATCAGCGCAACAGGGCCTCATTGTTCCCGCGGCAGAACATCACATGTGAAGTACGCTGAAACCTGGCGTAGCTTGCTCCTCTGGAGAAGAACGTCATATTTGTTTAACCAGCCAGAGATTTATACCTGTACCTGAGTAGGGTACCGAAGGGTAAAACAAGTACCGTATTTTCTTCTAGTTCACAGATGTCTATTTTCATGCAGGTTCTGGCGCTTCCTTGGCAGCACCTCGAATTCATGCTGCTTCGACTGTAACAGGCGGAGGGTCTCTTATCCGTTCAGTACATACAAGGTCTATGACTGCAAGACTGGCCAGAACCCGTTCATTTCCTCATCCACCTCATGCTCCTCCAGCGGATAGTCCAGCATTGTCGATATTCTCGCCAATGTGGGTGGTTCTTTACATTATATGTTTTGTGACATCGCACAATATTCGTTCATGACACTTTGATTTTACTTTTGTAACACTGTCAAAGCTGTCAGGGAACTCTGATGCTGAAACTTCGGGTCAGACGTTCCTGAAGTCCAAATACTGCCGAGATGGTTGTCGTTTTAGGTCCTTAGGTGGACATTCTGAAGTTGCAAATACTACAATATCACAAGTTTACGATCCAGTCCATCAGATGATCACTCCAAGGTTGGTTTTGTGTGAAATCATTTTTTTGGTGATTGTTAAATTGACCCACCTTTTAGCTATGTGGGATTCTTCTTTTTTTAGCGAATCTTCAAAGTGTTAGATGCTGCTCTAATCTTCTGTTTTCCAGTTTTACCACTGTTCTACTTTGTCTGGAAGTTGATCGCCGTTCTTCTCCTTTGCCTCTCTCTCTCTCTGTCTCTGTCTCTCTCTCTCTCTCCTCTCCTCTCCTCTCCTCTCCTCTCCTCTCCTCTCCTCCCCTCTCCTCTTCTCCTCTCCTCTCCTCTCCTCTCTATATCGGTCTCTTGTGCGCTGGCATCTATCCTATCCTATCCTATCCTATCCTATCCTATCCTATCCTATCCTATCCTATCCTATCCTATCCTATCCTATCCTATCCTATCCTATCCTATCCTATCCTATCCTATCCTATCTATCCCTCTCCTATCTATATCCTTATCTATCCTAGCTATCCTATCTATCTATCATCGTATTCATATCTTGTCCTCTCCTATCTTCCGTTCCTATCTATCCTTCCTATCTATCCTTCCTATCACTATCCTCTCATTCTTCTCTTCTAACTTCTCTTAGGATAGCGGGCAGAGGAGAACAGTAGCCCTTATTTTTGAAAAATTTCCCGTATCCTTGGCTACCATGTTGCTTTATTGCGTTTCTTCTAGGCTAGAGTCGGTGACTGTTGGCTAACGTTTCGCATAAAAGGTCATCTACGCAGACAAGTGGCGTACTAAAGGGACCATTGAGATTTTTTCCCCCGTCCTACGATCCCTTTTTTATGCAAGCATACCGCTTTTTTCTAGCATCTCTTATCTACAGTGTGAGTGCACAATATCGCCCTTTATCGTCCCTTCCTACAGGGCCATTCCTCACCGAATAATAGTTGCTTTCTACTGCGCAAACTCTTATATACCGCTCTTGTGTGGATAAGGCATAATTCAGTCTTCGCGTCGACGCGCGTCATCGCAAAGTCTGAACGCACCCTCATTCTTAATGCGTCCACGGGAGAAATTCGGAATAATTCAGAAAATCGCCTTTTCAGAATGCAGGTGTTCAGCCGTGAACTTCAGCGCCAACCAGATTTCGATCTGTTGCTGGCCGAGTTATGCTTAGACCATGTCTGGACTGAGCCATCAAAAAGAGACGTTTGTGGAGAAATAGCTACTAAGGTGTATTTCTGAATTTCTCGAAGGATATTACTCAATTTCTGAAACAATTTTATTGATTTTCTTTAGAATTAAAAATTTCCTTTCAGATGTTCCTTTCCCGTAACGTCCTTTCACAAGATTTTGTGAACTTCTTTGTTGGAACTGTGAATCAGTTGCGATCGATTCGGACTGTTCACACTGTAGGTAACATCACAACTTCTGGATCATTGTCCACACTCTCTTGTCGAGATGCCACTGCTATCAGGGTGAGACTTCATTTTATTTGTCCAATTTTTTTGTTGCCTGGGACCTCATTACTTTTCTACCCCGGAAATGATAGTGTCAACTGGCGCCACTTAATAGCTGCGTAAAATCCTGGATCTACTCTTGTCTGAACCAAACATCCTTCGTATTCAGTAAATCGATACCAGACCCATGTGGGAGGATGAGACCACTGGCTTATAGATCAGCTTACGCCTGAAAGCCAAACGCACTTGAGAGTCTCTACGATTCCGAATGGAAGTGAAAAGCATGGCGCACCCAAGGAGGGGCATAATCAGCCACTTGTGCTTCATTTTTTTCCCACGGATTTGTCATTTACAATTGTCAAGACAATGTTGTTCTCTCATTTTCAGGACGGCGA